AGTGTATCATCAGAGCCTTTTCAAAAACCTTAACAGATAACTATATATATAATTGTTGGCAAGTAAATAAAAAACAAAATTAAAAAAAAAATGCAGCAACGAGAAAAGAACACCAGAACACAATTTTTTTCTATGGGGCACTGCCCAATTACAGCCCCTTTTGTAATAGAAAGCTGCATTAGAAAGTAGCAAGAAAGCCGTTTGGAGCCTAAGTCATCAATACAATCAAACTTCACACAAAACTAACAATAATAATCTTTAGGCCATAAAAACATTTTCCTCTTATACATATGTGCAGCAGTTGATCGCAGCAGATCCCTACACTCATGAAAGTTGCAACATGCAAAATAAGTTCCAACTCAATTTCTGTTACCATTTCCACTTCTGTTTCCTTCACGTTCTTTCTTGAAATTCTCTAAAACTAAATAAAGCCAAAAACTACCATCAAATGTGCCCAAAATTTACTCAGACATGGAGCTCAGATAACAACGGGATAAAAGAATTTGAAGAACTTGCAAGGTTTCTATCATGCTGCCATCGTGGCCCATTAAGGCGTTGATAAAGATTACAGAGGAACAAAAGATGCCCCCCAAAAAAATGCAAAGTTGAGTGTTGAGACCTGGAATATTTGCGGATGTACAGAAATATAAAGTTTAATATCTTAGCTTTTTAGGAAGATACAGCACACAGTCAAATAGAGAGGAACAAAAGATGCCCCCCCCAAAAGAAACGCAAACTTGAGAAACATAAAAGGGCAATATTTGGTCCCTAACACACCTCCACTCAAATAAAAGAGAAAATAAGTAAGAGAAAAAATTAAGGGGATTAAAGCCAAAGAAATTTACATATCACAAATTACCAGGATTACATAAATTTAGATTAACATATCAGATTACACGGGAATTCAGTGGTATATATGAAAATCCCATCTGAGTTAAAGAATATCAAAGGATCCACCCCTCAGTAGCGGGAGAATGTTCTTGTCCAATATCTCAAATCCAAAATCACATACTAGAACTTAGGAGAATGTTTTTGAGATTTATCAATCACCATTTAAAAATATACAAAAGACAAACTAGAAGAAAGAAATCCACATTGCAGGCTCAGGTAGACCTTTGATCAATGATAGAAAGGGATTTCCAACATCATAGATAGGATTAATCAATCATTTCACAAACTGCCAATGCATGGAAGCAGCGGTTGCCAGCGGCGGATCCCAACAGCCATCCGAGCTGCTCCATAACTTTGGCTCAACAGATCAAGGTGAGCTGCGCACAGTTTTTTTACTGCTTTCCACAGAAGCTTTCGGGCACAAAACTTTTCATGAAATCACACAACTCTCCTTGGCCTATTGGTTAAGAGCTTAGGCTTCCAACTCTTGTGTTTCTATGTGTATGCGTTGTGTGTGTGAGTTTGCCTTAAATGGCCTAAATGTCCCAAAAAAAAAAAAAAAAACTTTTCATGAAATCAGCCAAAAGAGCAGCAGCAAAAAAGCTGTCCCAAAGGAAGCCTTAAAGAGTGATAAAAGTATTTCTCTTTGAACGGCCCAGCAGATTTCAACCATCTTTCAGATTAATATTCACAAATAAGCGTTCATATGTAAATAGCATGATATAAAGTGGTATGTATGTAAATCCCCCAATAATTTACCCCCACCGCTCCTGCCCAATTTCTCGAAAACCTCCTCGACAAAGCGGTGAGGAAGTAGCGACGGGAGCTCGCTGTGGGAAGGCATCGACCGTACCGGCGACGTATTGAGGGGAAGAGAAGTTCAAAAGAGAAATGGCGATGTCGAATGAGTGAAAGCCCTTAAATCCTGTAAATCCGATTGCTCTAAATCAGTCAGGGGACATTTAGGCCAACTATAAGGGCATCTCCAACCGAAAACTCCATTTTCCACTGCAAAATACAGCAAAACTCCAAAATAATATAGAATCTTAAATGCCGTTCAATCTTCGTTTTTCCATAAATCCCGGATTTAGTAAATCCAATAGTTCAGCGGATTTACGGGATCTAGCCGAAGAAGCGCGAGGGGGAGACAGATCTTTACCTTCGAGCCGAGCTACCCTCCGATCCGACATAAACAGCGTCGTCGAAGGAGGCGAACAACCTTTACCGACTCTTTCAAAACTCTACTTAACATAAACCAGGCATCAAACCAAAGGGTTTAAGGTTTAGAGTTTCAGGAGAAATTGCCCCCAACTTCACTAAACTTGCAGTTCAAATCAGAGGAGAAAAGGGAAAAAATGGAATAGCTCGTTTTTCTACATCCACTCAAATTCATAGGAACCAAACATAATCATGGGGATTGTGACCTAATCTCATTCTGATTACAGTAGAATGCCCCCCAACATAGTGCAAGAAGAATACTATGCTAGTGCTACCCAACGCAGACTAATGGGAAAATATCGAAACCCCTGATCAGGTTGAAATCATTCTATAAAAGAAAGAAATCGATGAGCCCGTCGCTTCACCTTCGCGCGCAAGATGAAGATTTTAGGGTTACAGGCCATATGAAGAGAAGATATTTTTTCCCGACCAATGCTTCCAGAACCCACTATAAAGAGAAAATATATTTTTATTTAACCATTTTGTCTTATTATAATATTTTCCCAATAAAATAGTTACTGTAATATATTATGAAAATTAGAATTTTAATGATCATTTAGTGATTTAATTTAATGAAGAAGTTATATTTGTAGATAAAAATCATTAACATTTTCATATAATTATTTATGAACTTTAATCTTTTCAATTAGATTAATCATTATTAAGTTCAAGAGAGAGCAACATAAGCATATTTATTATTCATATTTTTTTATCTAAATTTCTATCAGCATACAAAAATTTCTTAACAGCCATGAGCTCTTCGGAGTCTACTCTGAGTTCTTAAAAAATTAAAAATTAATTTATTTGTCACAAATTAATTCAGAGTCAAGTGTCTATTTTGAATAACTTTATCATTATTTTATTTCTTAAATCACAATTATAGTTCAATTTGATCATTGTTATCTTATATTTTAGTAATTTTTTGGATAGAAAATAATTTTTTAGAATTATAGTGGCTAAATTTTTTTATTTTTAAAAAGAGCATATTTATAATATTTATAACAAATTTAAAAAATATATTTTTTTTTCATAATAACTTTATCATCACCTTTATAAAAGACTACATTTTTCCCAATCAGATTCTAAGATGAGCAACGATTGACTTTATTAATTAGATATAAAGGATCATAAATACAAGAAAATAAATAAAATTTTATAAATGAAAGAAATAGATTGTAATAATAAAAGAAAAAAAAAACCAAAATTTTAATGATAAAACTAACCCAATTGAACTTAAATTCTTCCAAAATGAAGAGCAGGCCTTCCTCTAATTCCAAGATGAAAGCTGATGAGAATGATAAGCAACCTTTCTACAGAATAAGAAAGTTGGCATGGCTTGCCATCTTATTGATTAACATCATCTCCAACCAAATTCTATTTTACTGTATGACGTCCGTCATTTATTCCATTCGAACTCCAAATAGCATGCTAATTTCCGGTAGGCAAATAGTGGGACGTCAATATTCGTGTCGGACTCTACACCTACGCCAAAAAATTTACCTACGGGATTTGCCAAAGAAGTGCGCAAAAGAGAGAAAAGTGCGCTAAAGATGGTTACATTCACAGGAAGCACGCGAAAGAAAAACAAATAGCATTAGATTGACAAAGAATGACTGCATTTTAAATGTTTACTGCATTTTTTAGCGGAGAAAAACTGAAGTGGAAAATGAGTTTTTCTGTTGGAGATGCCCTAAATTTTTGTTTGACTCACTTGCACTTTTCCTGAAAGCTATACATTTATTCATAATTTTATTGATTAAATAGGAAGTCAACCCATTCTTTTCAAAAATATCGGTCAATACTTCAGATCTCCAGTCACCTACTACACAAAATATGCTAATATTAAAAGTGCAGGTAAATTTTTATTTCAAATTTCCAAATGCTAAAAGATTTTGGCTAGAGGTTCAACAAGACAAATAATTTTGTTGGACGTTCTTATTAGACTCAAAAAGCTATACTGAAAGACAAATACATATATACTACATTCTATATACAAATTCAATCCCTACATGATATAAACAAATCATAAGCTAAAAATATGAGTTAGATTATCTAAAAGTGTCAAGTAAAAGATCATGTAGTTCACTTCCAAGAAATGAGTTAGTCTACTTTTACTTGATTTCAGATGGTGGATTCTTTTCCCGAGAAGAAATTTTTTGGATTTGTGCTCAGCCACGGTCACCGGATCATCGATGAGCAGTTGTCGACCCTCTCGTCTGGAGTCGCTCCCATTGATCACCGTTCTCATAGAATTATGCTGCTTGTGCAAGATTTCTAATAATCCTCCAAATTTTGACAATTAAAACATGATAAAAGCATAACTCCTCCAAAATAATCTACATAAAAAAGCAGTTTTGAGTTCACTTTCTTAGGTAGCCCTATGGCATACTTACCAAGCAAAAGTGTATTTGTACTTTCGATTAGTCTGGCGTAATGCCAAGCATAATAATGAACTAAGGCCTTCTCCAGCCGTTCGGCAAACAGGTGAATGGAGAGCCTCAAACGTCCCAACCGAACTCCATTTTTTGCCGTCATTCAGTCGCTGATGAACAGTGCGACGCCAATATTGGCGTCACACTGTTCACTTTCGCCATTTCTTTCTCTCTACCGAATTCTGTCTGAGAAAGGCACGAAAGAAACGATGATGATTTGGGGGCAAAATGGCGTTCCACTGGAGATGAATCACGGCACTTTTTTATTTTACTGCATTTTGCAATAATAAATGAGAGTTCCGGTTGGAGATGCCCTAAGAAGTATAATATTTTAAATAGCAAAAGCATGAAATGAAGGACATAACAATAACAATTAATGCTCAGATCACAAAGATAAAGAAAGGCAAATTTAATTTGTTTCCAAATCCAATATTATCTTACTATGTTATAAATATTTTCTTATTTAGTAACAGGTTTCTGTGCATTATCTACACCAAGGCCATTCAACACACCAGCCTGCTTCTCAGTTAAGCCATTTGGAAAGTAAGAGTCACTGAGCTTCCTGAAGGTGCAGGAGGTGACGAGGCTGTCAGAGCCCGCCTGATGGCTGATCCCAACTCTCTGCACACCAACCATCTCCGCAATCTTACTGAGCCCCCCATAAAGATTGTTGCAGAACTTTATAAGATGTTTAATGTCATACAGAGTCGGGAAGTAGATCTTCATGAGCTGAAAAAAGCCTTCCCGGGTATCAGGAAGCTCTTTGCAAGTTAGTAGCTTTAGGAGGTAGCCGAAGTCATAGCTGCCGTGGAAGGCGATCCAATGCACATCCTCGTTGAGAACAATGCCGGAGGACATGAAGAGCTCACCGAAACGAAGGGCGTCGACGCCGTGCTCTCTGTTCTTCTTGAAGTTGATTCCACACTGGCGGAGGAGCTCAATGGAATCGGAAGCGCAAATGTCGCGCTCGTCGTCGAACTCCCGGAAATTGAACTGCCAGACGCAGCCGTAGCCGGTATTGCAGGTGGGGAGGTTTCCGCGCTCGTCGGCGAACGTGAGGCCGAGCTGGATCAGCTTCAACATATCGACGTTAGCCTTTAGCATCGCATATTGATAGTCGAATGACGACTTGAAGTTTCCTACCGGCCGGCAAACGACCCCCGGGAACTCCGTGTCCATGGCGACGAAGGGGAAGTCGTCCACAATCTCGCGGATAAGAGCAAATTCTTGTATCAGATTGTCATCCCAAACCTCTCGTATTTGAACGTTATCGTTCCTTGGGGCCACTGACATCTCTCAGTCATGCGAGCTGCAAACAATGAATCCAAAAAACACCATTAATTACCTTTCCCAAAACCCTCAAATGAATCGCCGGAGAAAGAAGAAACCCCGATCATATAAAAACGTAATTGCCCTTAATTCTAACGTAATGTAGGAGGAGAAGAGGAACGCATCTAATTAACCTTTGGAAGATGAAATCGAAGAATGGGAACGACAGACCAAAGAGGATTTTGACAACAGCGAAAGAATTTAAAGGCTTCCAGGCGAACATGGCAAACGAGGGAGGATTCAGAGAAAAAAAAAAACAGCAGGGTTTGAAATTTTCTTGAGATGGAGATGGCGATTCAGTGTTTGGCCCGGCGCGAGACCCGCCCGGGAGAAGAGCTCCAAACATAAACTTTTTTGACAATTTCTAAGCTTTCATGGCCGGAATAAATACAACGAGAATTCGACGTAATTGGCTACACCAAAAAAGTAGCGCAGCTGCCGTTATTTTCTTACTATATTTTAGATGATTGGCAATCAAGCTAATTATTTTATATTTAAGGTTAAATAATTTAAATGTATTTATTTGATAATATATAAATAATAACCCCTCCTGAAAATTGAAAAAATAAAATTATAAATATAGATTATGAAAATTCTTGTTTTAAAAATCATATTGTTTTTAATAAAATTTTGATTGAGACGATGACCACAATTTTTGAAAGGAAGTGATTGATTTCCCTTTCTCAGAATTACTTTCATTACACATTGATCAAATACATAATGCTGCAATAAAATTCTAATTTTAGCAAATATATAGTCCAACTAAATATTTAAATGATTTGAACTCATTGGCATCAAAATCGATCAAACTCAACACAAAATAAGCTCAAATCAATCACTTGAAGTATAGTGAGAAGCATTAAAATTTTAATTGAAAGACTGAATGATCTCTAAATATTGAATGCTTATATCAAATCGAGCGTCTCGATGAGAAGATTACAATGAGCTTAAGATCTTCTAAATTCAATATCATTAAGGCACTTAAAAAGCTAAAAAATAGTTTATGATTAGAATATCAATGCAAGCAATTTGATAGAGTACTCGACATTATGGCACACCACTCTTAAAATATATAAATAGGTCTCCACTCGCTATATGAATAGGGGGCTTGGAACTTAGCTTGAGACTTAAAGAGTCAAAAGATTGTAGAATCTCAGAGCTCCAGCCAAGTACTACCTCTAGACCATTGCCGACAACTATAATTTGACAACAGACATATAACTATGTTTCTTACAGCATCACTTGAATATGAAGTATGATCCTTCAACCATCATTGCCCTCTTATGGTCCACCAACCATTATTGCCCAACTATAATTCTACGATCATAGTTTCCCTCCCATAATCCTCTAACCATTATTACTTGTTTATGTGTCTCTAACAATTATCTACCGATTGCAATGTTTGACCATTATTGTCTAGCTACACTAGCACTTACTTTTTTTGTCACTTACTATTATCAACGACACATGTTATTGCCCATAAGGTTTGATACGTCATCAAAAAATTATCTTGATCAGGCACGAATCTCGAAGCAAAATCAAGTTTGAAACTTTTGAAATTAAAATTGGCACCATCCGAACTCTAATTTCAGTAAACTTACAGTGAAACTGAACGTCTCAAAAATACGAACCCAACGAAACCAAATTTGACTCAATCAGAGCCCAAATGAGTCCAAATCAAGGACCCAAAGCACTAGTGGAAGGTTCGAACCACAATTTGGGTTACCAAACCGTTTCCAAACATAATGTGCTTATAGTCGAATCGAGCGGCTCGACGAGACAAATTCAACGAGTCCAAGATCGCTAAATTTCGACATCATTAAGAATTTCAAATGTTTGATGAACGGTCCACAATCAAGGGATTCAATATTGGTCGTCCATCCAACCACTCCCCATTTACACTTGATCTCTCACCTATTTACGGGTCATGCACTCGAGAAATATATAAATAGACCCATCATTTATCTTGAAAGGGGGGACCCCAAGCAAGAAGAAGATAAGAGAAGAAATAAGAGAAGGAAGAAGCTCCTCCTCGACCACCGCCTGACGTTGTTGCTCCGTCGGACCACTACTTGAGGCCCTCATCTCTGCCAGACCACCGCCTGAGGCCTTGACCTCCGCTGGACCACCGCTTGAAGCCCTTACATCCGTCGAACCACCGCTTGACGTCGTTGCTCCGCCAGACCACCACTTAAGGCCCTCACCTCCACTGGACCACCGCATGTCGTCGTTGCTCCGTCGGACCACCACTTAAGGCTTTGTGCTCCACCAGGCCACCACTTGAGGCCCGAACTTCTGCCAGACCACCACCTGAGGCTCAAAATTCTCTCGGACCACCACTTGAGGTCAAGACTTCCGCCGGACCACCACTTGAGACCATATGCTCCAGCATGCCACCACATGAGGCTCAGACTTCTGCCAGACCACCACTTGAAGCCCCGAGCTCCACCAGGACACCACCTGACGCCCAGAGTTCTGCCGAAGCACCACTTGAGTCCCTGACTTCTGTCGGACCGCCATCTGAGGCCCGAAATTCCACCATACCACAACCTGAGACTTAGACTTATGCCAGTCTACCACTTGATGTCAAGAGTTCTCTCGGAGTACCGCCCTTATACTACGGTCTTTTGGACCCCTGTCTCCTGCTAATTATGGTCCTTCTGACCTCTTTCACTAAACAACGATCTTTTTGACCCCGGTATCCTGCCAACTACGGTCTTTCGGAACCCTGTCTCATGCCAACTATGGCCCTTTCAACCAAACAAACATGTCTATGTTGATTTTATTGTAACTCCCACCATGTAATGCATTCTTTATGACATACATTTGTGACATCAAGCCGAGCCCTTCTCCCCAAGGAAGGGCCTCATTTGTAATCAACTGCAAATACTAGTGGATTCATTCAAACTAGGTCAGGCCCTGTGGTTTTTCCACCTTTTCAGGGGTTTCCACCTAAAAACTCTGGTGTTTTTTATGAACGCTACACCCTCTCTCTTATCTGATTATTTGATGGATCTTTGTACAATACTAAAACGTTAAACTATATATTTCTTTACCGTCGCAAATATTCTAAGACGCAACAAGGTTGATGAATTTTATCAATATTAACCCAAACTCCCGATGTTCGCACCAAGATTTAGGTTGGACATTTTGGAATTTGTTGTCCCCTTCTCAAAGGAGATTAATCTAACAGCTAGAAAAATATATGTTGAAGTCATCTCACATATTACATGGCAATTTCAATTTTCTCCATGGAATCCATTATTGTATAGTTTGTTTCTATGATATTGTATTAACCCCATTCTCAATCATGAGAAATGACTTCATTTATTGCTAATGATAAATACCAATATAATTATTTCAAACGAGACATGCCCGTGATTTATCCCTTTTTAGGGCAAAGATGCTTAAAGACATGCAGGGGCGGATCCAACTCATTTTTTTAGGGTGGGCAAAAAAAAATTTTTTTTTTTGGATGGGCAAAGATGCTTAGGATTGATAAAATTAGGACAAAAAAAATTTTTTAGGGGGGGCAAAATGCCCAAAATACCCAAAATATTCTAAAAATTTACTCTAAATATATATAAAAAAAAATTTGAGGGTGGGCAAATGCCAAATTCAAAAATTTCTAATTCTATTCTTTTACATCAAGAATTATGTTTGTTCTGATAATTTTTTTGATGACTCCAAATGGGCTCAAATATTGGGCTTAAAGCATATTTAGAAAATGTAAAGCATTAATTGGATGATCAAATGAACTCTGAATTAGACATGCTTAGAGTTGAATCAAGCGGCTCGATGAGACGAATCCAATGAGCCCAAGATCACTTAATTCTGACATCATTAAGACATTTAATATTTGATGAACACTCTATGATCGTGGGAATCAATTCAGACCGAAGCATTCCGAATTTTTCGTAGATATTCTCTATATTTATGGAGCGTGCTACTAAAAAAATCTATAAATAGGTCATCATTCTTCACATGAGGGAGGGAGGAAGAATAGAGAGAACTAAAAGAGCTCTCTTGCATTTTTCAACCACTACTTTCGGTGAGTACTTCCAGCTATTGTTGCCGACAACCTCCATCGCCATCTATATTATTTTGTTGATTAACTGTGCACTCTAATTCAAGCTTCTTGAATTATGTTTTGATCTGCTTAAGCTCAAATGATATGAATTCTAAACTTCAAGAGAATAATAAGTTTCTTTTTATGAAACATTTAGTTATGAAATCTATAGAGGTATCAAAGTTGTTTATCTTTTTAAAAAAATTTTGAAACTGTCAATGCCGATCTCATGACTGGATGAAAAAAGTTAAGGAAATTTTTTTAAAGAAATTAATAAGACCCCGCTATGAAAAGCTTCTTGCTTCGCCACTGTATGGACACTTACTTTCTATACTCCCCATTTGAGAAATTAAGTCCTATTGTTGTTGTTAATTGTCCATTTGTGAACACTTAGTTTTTGTATTCACTCAGGAAAAATCAGAAGTTTGTTTATCCCCTCTCTTATTCAATATTGAATAAAGGAGAATTCTTGTATCACTTAATACATAATGAATTTTTCTACTGTGCCATACCCAATGTCCTTTTCCCCTTATCGATTTTCCAAGTCAAAAACTTATGATCTTACTACTCTTATCAAGGCATTATGAATTTTTATGTACCGCTGAGACTTAAACATATCATCTACTGGCCCAAGTTTTCTAGCAATAGTGAAAAAAAAATTCACTAAAACAATTTAAAAACTGTTCCAAACAAAAGTTTAATTGCATTTTATTTTGTTTGAGATAACTTAATATTTTAATATTTAAATCTTCTTTCTCAGTTATACTTGTAAAAAAAAATTTAAAAAATAACTTTTTAAAGAATAAATTTCAAAATAATGATTATTGATACGTCGTTAAATAATTATCTTAATCAGGCACGAATCTCGATGCAAAATCAAATGGGAAACTTCAAAAATTTATTCGAAGACCATATGAACTCCGATTTCAGCAAACTTACAGTCGAACTGAGCGTCTCGGAAATACAAACCCAACGACACCAAATTTGACTCAATCCAAGCCCAAATGGGTCCAAATCAAGGACTCGAAGCGCTGTTGGAAAGTTCAAACCACAAATTGGATTACCAAAAGAGTTCCAAACATAACAAGCTTATACTCGAATCGAGCGGCTCGAAAAGACGAATCCAACGAGCCCAAGATCGCTAAATTCTGACATCATTAAGGTCTTCAAATGTCTAAAGAACGGTGCATGATCAAGGGATTCAACATCGGTCGTTCATCTAACCACTCCCCATTTACCATTGATCTCTCACCTATTTACGGGTCATGCAACTCCAGAAATCTATAAGTAGACCTCCCTCTCCTCTTGAGAGGGAGACCCTAAAGCCCAAGGAAACAAGAGAGAGATCATAGATCGCTCTTGCTCCCTTGTCTCCTCGACCACCGCCGGAGTTCTGCCGGACCACCACTTGAGACCCTCACCTCAGCCAGACAACCGCATGACGTTGTTGCTCCGCCAGACCACCACTTGAGACCCTCACATCCGCCGGACCACCGCCTGACACTGTTGCTCCGCCGGACCACCACCTGAGGCCCTCACCTCTGCCGGACCACCGCCTGACGCCGTTGCTCCGCCGGACCACCACTTAAGACCCTCACCTCCACCGGACCACCGCATGACGCTGTTGCTCGGCCAGACCACCACTTGAGGCCATCACCTCCGCCGGACCACCGCCTAACGTCGTTGCTCTGTCGGACCACCACTTAAAGCCCCGTGCTCCACCAGGCCACCACGTGAGACCCGGACTTCCACCGGACCACCACCATATGCTCATACTTCTTCCGGGCCACTACTTGGTGCCGAGAGTTATCCTAAAACACCGCCCTCCTACAACGATCTTTTAGAGCCCAGTTGTCACGACCCAGACGATCCTGATTTCGTCCAGACGAACCATACAGCCAAAACTGATTTTCTGCACAACCTGTACCGATCGTCCCGGACGATCCAACTTCGTCCCGGACGAACCTGGAGCAAAAACTGATATTACACCAGTCTCCTGCCGATTACAATCCTTTTCACCTCTGTCACCTACTATGGTCTTTCCGACCTTCATCATCAGACAATGGTCTTCCAGACCTCAGTCTCCTGTTTACTACGATCTTTCAGACCTTCATCTCCTACTATAGTCCTTATGACCTCCATCACCAGACAATAGTCTTTCAGAGCCCAGTCTCCTGCCGACTACGGTCCTTCTGACCTCTGTCACCTACTATGGTCTTTCCGACCTTCATCACCAGACAAGGGTCTTCCAGACCCTAGTCTCCTGCCGACTACGGTCTTTCAGACCTTCATCTCCTACTATGGTCCTTCTGACCTCCATCACCAGACAATAGTCTTTCAGACCCCAGTCTCCTGCCGACTACGGTCATTCTGACCTCCGTCGCCTACTATGGTCCTTCCGACCTCCATCAACAGACAACAGTCTTTTTGACCCTGGTCTCCTGCTGACTATGGTCATTCAGACCTTCGTCGCATACTATGGTCCTTCCGACCTCCATCAACAGACAACAGTCTTTCTGACCCCGGTCTCCTGCCGACTACGGTCCTTTTGAACCCCGTCGCCTACTATGGTCCTTCCGACCTTCATCAACAGACAACAGTCTTTTTGAAACTGGTCTCCTGCCGACTACGGTCCTTCTAAATTCCATCGCCTACTATGATCTTTCCGACCTCCATCAATAGACAACGGTCTTTTTGACCCCGGTCTCCTGCTGACTACGGTCCTTCTGATTTATGTCTCTTGCCGATAAAGGCCCTTCCAACCAAATAAATATATCTATGTTGATTATTGTAACTCCCACCACGTAATGCGCTCTAAATGATGTATATTTGTATCATTAAGCCAAGACCTTCTCCCAAAGAAGGGCCTCATTTGTAATCGACAACTAATTCTAGGGGATTTATTCAAACTGGGCCAGGCCCCGTGGTTTTTTCCCCCTTTTTAGGGGTTTCCACGTAAAAACTCTGGTTTCTCTTATGAATGTTACACCCTCTCACTTATCTGTTGTGTGCTGGATCTTCGTATAATGCTAAGACGTTAAACTATGAATTTCTCTACCGCTGCAAATACTCCATGACGCAACAATTATAAAAATTTTCTTACAAATAACATATATTTTAAGTGATTTTCTTATCACAAAAGTGTTGCAGTCCATGACCCTTAATCTGAGATTTTGATGAGGACAAATAATGTCGATTGAATTATTATTCATTGAATATTTTTTATTTTTGTTCTTGTCTATGAGTACTAACATTTCAGGGAGATCATAAGTTACTCAGGATAATAAGAAGACTCAAGACTGTGTAGAGTAGGATTTGAAGTCTATAACCTTATAATCCTCTTTTTTAATTATTTTTTTTATTGAGTCTCGTTACAAATTGTATGCACAACTAAGCGACCATGCACACACATAGGGGGGGGGGAGGAGGTTTTTTAAAAAAATGAAGAAAAATTCTTTTAAGTAGATCGTATTATACGAGTTTTATTCATACTTTACGATCTGCTCTAGCTCAACAGCTATTTGTGAACAAATCATACTGTACGATACATATCGTATTGTATGATGTGTTTCTAATTAAAAACTCTAATATCTAGATTAATTTAAGTAAGTTCTTAATTTGTAAATTTTGAGCTGATCATGTTGTACAAGTTTTTGAATACTTACTTAAATTAATCCCATTATTAGTCAATCAAATCAATAATTATTTATCAATTGGTAATCGTACAGTATGACATGGTTCATACAGTATGAGATACTGAGGTTATTTTTTATCGTCTCGAAAATCATACCGAACGATCTCTTGATTTTTAAACTAATCGTACTGGACAATGTGAACATCATACCGGACGACCCGAAGCTTTTAACATATCGTACTATACGAAGTGGATTGTACCATACAACGTACAGAGACAATTTTGGGTCATCCCAGCATTCGTCTTATACGAATAGAAGGAATTTAACATATCGTACTAGACGATGTTATATCGTATTGTATGATATTACTCAAAAGAATTGCCTGTTCGTACTCCTTCGTACCAGGACGAAGGCTATTTTGAATTGATCGTACTGTACGATCTTGGATCATACAGTACGAACATAAATGGCTATATTGAAAATTTGGGGTTTCTTGGAGACTGATTTAAATATCTAAACTTCTGTCTTTTTGAAAAAAAAAATGTATGTGATAGGAATGTGACTAGGATATGATTTCATGAGAGAGCTTTTTGATAAAATTTTGGGTTTGTGAGAGGAAGGGAATGTGGACTTTTTGAGGGAGAAGGAGTGTGAGGGAGATCACACAGTTGCTCCTAGCTTGCTGCACATTGCTCCTCCTATGGCCCGAGAAGATCTTGTGGGAAGTTTTCTAAGGGGAAGATCCTTCAAGGCCTGTGTCCTCTAAGGTACCATGTCTTCTCCAGCAGGCAGAAAAACGATAATGTTCGCTGCCGTCACCGGGAGGGTGACATAGCGCTTGGTACTCCGCCACGTTGGAAAAGTGAAAATGAGGTTTGTAAGGACTTCTCCGCCTTGCTATGAGGGAAAAAGGAGAATTAATATTTAGTAGTGAAATTCCCAGAGTTGAAGACTCCGGGGAGTGGACATAAGTCAAGTGATCGAACTACTATAAATTTTTTGTTGTGATTTTTCCCTTACTGCACTTTATTTACGTTTTGCATTTTTACATTCGTTATAATTGCTTGGTGAAAATCATATTCTAATTTCTTTGTTGAGCAAGTTAAAATGTCACCACATTGTTGCAATCGTGATTTAAGAATTCGCTTCCGCATCATTTTAATATTCTTATTTAAGATTTAAAAACACAAAAATTAAAACTCCTGTTTAGGATTGTTATTTATTGCAACAAATTTCTAATTCACCCCCACTTGACCCATCTCGTACTTCCAAAGAGATGCTAAAAAAATGTTCATAACAAAACTAAAGTTATCATAGCATAGTACTAGTTTAATCAAACATTGTGCATTAGGTAATACTCTATTAGTATAATTTTTTGAAAATATGTTGAGTTAGAAAAATTATAAGTGATATGCGAGAAAAATTGCTAGTTTATTGGCTATTTAAATAATTATTTCTTAATTAAAATTAGATTTTATATTTTTGAAACTATTATGTATCATTTTATCATTTATAAAGTACCCATTAAAAATATATGCATATATAGATTCGCTCATGTGCGTCATTACTTCCTTAAAATAGATCCTTCATTGCTTTTCCTTTGAAAAGTTTCAAATAGAAGACTTTGTTTATGCTTTATATTTAATTAATGCAGATGGATTTGTCATTTTGTTGCATTCTAAGGTTTTATTTGAGAAGACTTACTGTTTTTTAAAATAATTTTTTAGTACAAAAATTTCATTTACTAAAACAACTGTTTTAAGTGATGATTCAAATTTTTTATCAAGATTTTAGTTGGGACAAATTTGTTATAGTTTCTTAAACCAAATTTTTAATAAAAAATTAAAATTTAATTACTAAAAAAATTATTTTAATAAACAGTAAAAAAATCATCCTAAATAAAATCTAAGACTTCGTTTGTGATGAATTTTTTATTGCTTCTTTAAAAAAAAATTTAGTTTAAAAAATAAAATTTTTATTCTAAAAAAATTATTTAAAAAGAAGTAAAAAAACCGCCTCAAACAAAGCCTAAATTTAGGATAGTAAATTTTAATTATTCTTTAAACGATGATTTTCTTTTAATTGCCTTAGTTGAAAATAAATATATTATATATTTAATTATTAATTTATTTAAAAATTGTATATGAAAACATTATAAGATCTAGATGAGCTGAAATATTCAATTATTACTAATTAAGAACATAAGAAACAAATAAAACAAGAGCAAATTAATATTTCTGGACCTTTGTACAGCATACAATACTGCATCAGCTCCCATCAGAATCCTCTTTCCAAAAACAAAAAAAAAAAAATCTGAAAGTCCTGCTTCCATCTTCCTTCCTTCCTTCCTGCTGCAACACTCCTACAGAATAAGCACATGGCAAACAAGTGTGCAAAAGAACATTAAATTCCTTTATCTAGTTGTTGGCAAAAGCATCTGGCTTGTTTTGTTTGTCTGGAAAGAAGAAAACAGATAAATGAAAGCAAAAGAAGATAACAAAATTTTTATCTTTTTTAGAACTTTTGAGTCAATTAAGGGTTCATTTGGGACGGCTTCCTTAATGCTTCTTAAAATAATTTTTTAGTACGAAGTTTTTTTTTTTTTTGGACATAATATAAAATTTTAATTTTTGTACTAAAAAACTATTTTAAGAAGCATTAAGAAAGCCGTCTAAAACAAAGCCTAACTCAAACAAACACAAATCATATATACAAACTTTAAACCCAAGATTTCTTCTTTGGTGACCAAAGCTCTTAATCAAAAAATTAAATGAGTTATATAAACGACAAAATAAAGAGAGTTTTTCTTTTTAAAAGTAAATTTAAGTAAAAAATTGTAGGAAAATTTAGATTAAATTTCTTGTTATCATAGATTTCAAAATTTATGCAGATCATCTTGATATGTTGGTTCAGAGTTTTGACTACCAACTACAAGTCTTTAGTTCGAAACTTATGTATTAGCTTGACTTAATTGACCAAAATGTCTAAAAAAAAATCAAAATTTGTGAAAGAGAAATGTAAAATTACTAATATAATATAATGTTAAATAAGCTAAAAAATAATAATCCAATTCTCAATGTTTGAATATGAGAGAACAATAAGATCATAATTTTCAAAACAAAGCAGATAAATTATTATTTTTTACATTTGGAGAACCAAACTGCATTCAAATTGAGATTTTTTGACCGTATAAAATTACCTACTAAGAATATATTTGTAAAATTAAGAATTTTCAATTAACAACAGGTTTTCATTTGACTATTTTTTTCTTGTTTTCTCATAAATTTTAGAAGATTTCATTTGAAAGAACTTTTTGACTGATTTTAGCATTAAGAAAAATAATTATTAAAAAATAACCTGTATTTATTTATTTTTTACCTCTGAAACAACTAGAATGGCAGGCTCTTTGACGAGGAGGCCGCCAGTTCCCGGAAAGAATCCGATGGGGCGAAATCTGGCGGTAGATTTGCCCGCCGTGCAATCCGCCGCATGTTATTCTGCCAACTCTGCACCACCAGCCTCCTCACCGCTCTCCTCTCCTCACTCATCCCCTTTTCCTCCTCTATCTCTGCTACCGACGCAGCCGACATACTCCGCCCGCCGCCGGAGGAATCAATCGGTGCAGAAACAGCTACTATCCCCCCTTTCAAAGCCTCCTTGCCCTTATCCTCGCTAAACATTTCCAAAATCCGAGATGCCCGCTTCTGTGCAAGCGCACTCCCAACAAGCGCGAGCTCAAGCAACGCAGATGTGATCCCCGCTGCTGCCATCGCCGCCCGATCAACACCTCGCGATTTGTGCGCCATTACCATCAGAATGTACGCCGCCTTCTCCTGGGAACCTGGCTCGTCGCTCCAGTTCAGCACATCTACAAGCACAGGAAAGGCGTCGGCGACGCAGCTCACAGCACTTCGGCCCTCCGGCGATGCGGCCACGAGGTTGGAGAGCACCGCTAGGGCCCGCTCACTGATGTTAGCGTCCTCGCCGATTGCAGCAATGAGGCAAGGAACGAGGCCGGAGTCGATGAGCTGGCCGGCGTTGGAAGGGGAGATCGAGAGGTTGAACAAAGCGCGCAAGGCGTCGTCTTTGGATTGGGTGGAGTTAGTGTTAGGGTTAGGGGTACGGAAAAAGTTCACCAGGAAGAGGATCGCGCCAGAGGAAGCGCCGATGATTGGCTTGTTAGCATCCAGGGCACCGAGGCTTAGCAAAACGGCGACGATCGCCTCCGCCGTCGACGTTGGTGTCGTTGGCAGGCCAGATTCGATCAGTGCGAGCATTTTGTGAACCGCTCCCGCTTTCACTATCGCCGATTTGTTCCTGTGTAAGAAGCTTATTTAGAGATTTAGGGACCGCGAAAATGGCGAAATGAGAGGAAAGATCGTAGCTTTTTTACTCGTCATTGCCGATTCCGAGATTGAGGAGCGCGTAGAGAGCAGAGATATGGGATTCTGAGTCTTCCGCATCGAGCAATCCGACGAGTGGAGGAATGGCGCCGAGCATCGCGAGCGTCTGCCGAGCTTCTGGGTTATCCTTCGCTAGTCTTCGCACCTCCGCCGCCGCAACAGCTCGCCGGCGATCGAAATCTTCCCCAGTTTCCTGTAAGCGCAACACCACGCCCTGCATCTCCTCGAAAGCTTCGATCTTTCGCTTCTTCTCGGCTTCTTCTCTACTCCGTGACTCCCGAGCTTCAGCTTGAAGTAGCTCGGATAGCTTCTCCAACCGCCGGTCCTCATCCGGCGGTGGCGGAATGCTTAGCGGTGGTTCTGCCCCCTTTTTCCGCTTGTGGTTTGTTGCGCCGCAGAGCATGGCTTCCAGAAGCCTCCGTCGAATTCCAGCGGCGGAGAATGGAGACCACCTACCTCCGGCGACAACCTCGCATCTTGCCATGGCGTGGACTTCGGTCACATCAGTTAGGAAAGCGGGTAGCTTGGGGAAGAAGACGTAGGGTACGTACTAGCCAGATCTTAGAACTTCTTCCCATCTTCCGCTGTTATACGAGAAGCAGAAGCACTAAGCCCGAGAGTTTCTTTTTAGATTTTTTTTTTTGGGATTTTTTTTTTAGATTTATATAAACGTCTTTATTTAAAATGAATTAATATGACAAAAGTTATAAAAAGGGATAATAATTCAATAAGAAGAAACAACTTTTGATATATAATATTTACATATTCATAATAAATAAAAAAAAATCCAATACAAAGACGAAATTTTAAGAAGGATTATGCTTTAAAAAATATTTTAGAGAATGAGTATGCTATTAAACAAATTTAAAAAAGTAACATACTAGTACACAGGAATCACATTTTCAAAGAAAATACAAAACTGACATAGAAAACGCGATCGTATATTGCATTTTCTTTGAAAACGTGAACCTGCACTGCATTTTCAATGAAAATGTGATACTCCATCGTGTTTTCCTCATAAAACACTTAATTAAGAAGGATCATACTTTAAAAAACATGTAAGAGAATGAGCATGATATTAAATAAATTTTAAAAGGAGCATATCAGTGTACAAGAATCACGTTTTCAAAGAAAATGCAAAGCAGTTGTGCGTTTTCTATGGAAAACGCGATCGTACATTGCATTTTCTTTGAAAATGTGAACATGCACTGCATTTTCAATGAAAATGCGATCCTCTATCGCGTTTTCCTCGTAAAACAATTAATAAGTGTTTTGAAATAAGTGGTGAGGCTATTGGGTCAATAAATTTATGATAGAGCCTTTTTCTCTAACAAAGTGATTCATGCATCATTTAAAAGCTTAAGATTTTATATTATATTAAAAATATTTAAATATGTAAGATTTTATTTTAAATTAAAATTTATTAGATAATAATAAATATGATAATAATTGAAACCATATTAATTAATGAAGCATATATATCTATGTAAGATTTTCTCATTCAGAAAAATAAGAAAAACCATTTAATTATGTAATTAATAATTTCATTAAATATACAAACATGAAAATTTAAATGAATAATTATATTAAATAAGTATAAAGTAAGAAAAAAACATTAATATGGTAATAATGAAAAGCATAAAATTTAAAATAGTATGTTTCATAAAATTAATTTTCTTTAATATTTTATGAGAAAAACGCAATGGAGGTTCGCATTTTCATTGAAAATGCAGTGCATGTTCATGTTTTCAAAGAAAAATGTAATGTACGATCACGTTTTTCATAGAAAACGCATAACTGCTTTGCAGTTTCTTTGAAAATGTAATTTCTGTGCACTGGTATGCTCCTTTTTAAATTTATTTAATATCATGCTCCTCGATCTTAAATGTTTTTTGAAAGCATGACCCTTCTCAAAATTTCGCCCAATATAAATTAGTTTTAGCTTTACCTTTTTATCTTCACAAATCAAGAAATCACTAAATCTAATGGCTTAAATTCATCAAACTTTTTGTGATTTGATTTTAGCCTTTAGATCAAGGGCATCAAAAGATTGTTTAGTCATTTTGTAATTTTCTCATTATAAGGTTTAAGTGGAGTTCAATTTAGCCTTCATACACAGCTCTAAGACACAAGCTCTCTTATTTTTCCTAGGAAGGCTGAGTAAGTGAGGATCCCTCTCATTCTCCTGGTTAGTTACAAGTCCATTTGAATAAGAAGAATCTAGGAACCCCACTATACACAAAATTAAGAACATAATTAAATAGCATCTTTAATCCAACGTATTCTTATGGCAAGACCTAGAATGTAATTAATCATGGGGGCTTAAGCCCGTGGGAAACTGACATGCACTTGAAATTAATCATATTTGAGCTAATGCATTGAACGTGCAAATCTTATGACTTTTAAATTATATATATATCATTATCTATTGAGATGTGTAGGCGAAAGCTGCTATTTTTCATGAATAATCATATGTATAATTCTATCCGCTCATTTATTGACCTGCATGCGTAGAGTGTACTAGATCCCATTAGAACTCCGCAGTTAAGCATGCTTGGGCGAGAGTAGTACTAGGATGGGTGATCTTCTGTGAATTTCTCGTGTTGCACCTTTTTTTAACCATCATTCTCTTTACATACAACTCACCTTGGCATGTTGGTTGAAAGCTTAGGCTTCCAACTAAGAGGTATTGGGTTCGAGTCTTTGTGTATGCATTGTGTGGGTGAATTTGTCTTTAATGACCTAAATATCTAAAAAAAAGGTCTGCTACCATTTTGTCTTAATCATCGCTTGTAGTTCTGCTTTTAAATACCCACAATAATAAGTATGGAGCTACAAAATAACAAAAAATAAATAAAAATTGCAATGCTCAAATCCAAAATAAAAAATATAAAAGAAGAGAATCCAAAATTTCTTTTTTTTTGGGGGAAATAGAATCCAAAATTTCTAAAACTTCATAATTATTTATTTTGGATGAATGAGATGCCAATACCTCGAAAACAGCTTACAATGTTTTTATCAATTTTAGCCATGCGAGAGAGCTTCCCCCTCGGCTTCGCTGCTCTAATAAGTAAAGGGCACGTGGTACGGAGTCAAAATAAGAAGATTAATTAATCTTTAAAAATTAGATTAGATAGATATTTAATGCTGGAGAGTTGGTGTTCGTACTCGGAAATATTATAACTTATCATATTTATGATCTGATAAGATATTTACTGTTGAGAACGTGAAGATTACAATCGGCATGAACTTCTTCATATCCAATCCGACAACAATTTGATACGGATCCGTTCTTAAATATTTTGGGTGTAGATTGATCTGTTGAATAAATGTATCAGATTCTGATTCATAATTTTTTAAATTCGATAGTGAACTGATTTTGATCTGATAATGATCATTTGTTAATTTTTTTATCAATATTTTTTATTAATTGAACTTGTTGCATGCTAGAATATACGCGCTGATAGAGTTAGAAATTTTCGTCTTAACGTTGTATGAATATCTTGTACACAAACAGAAGGAAAATGAAACAACGGAATTTTTACATGGAAAACACTGGAAAAGGAAAAAACACTAGGTCACGCCTAGTTAAGATGATTCAACTAGTGTTTAATTAGATTACAAGTGGTTGACTCGTCCATGAAACTGAGGATGATCATGTTACAATAATCAACCGTCGGGTTGAAATCTAGTTACAAGCAGAGATCGGAAATCCGGCGACATTTAATGGTCAGGCCAAAATCTGGCGTTGGTCGGCTGCTGGGTGGAAGTTCGATGGTGGTCGAGGAGTTTAGTGGCAAGAGAATTCAAGTTTCTCTTCTACTTTCTCTTTCTTCTCTTCCTTGTTTGGGGTTCCCTTCCATAAGAAATGAGGGGTCATCGTATAGTTTTTTGAGAGTGGCACGAACAGTAAATATGATGAAAATCAATGGTAAATATGGAGTAGTTTGAACGGATGACCGATGTTGAATCCCTTGATCATAGTTCATTTATTGAACATTTGAATGTCTTAATGATATCAAAATTCAACGATGTTGGACTCGTTGGATTCGTCTCGTCGAGCCGCTCAATTCGATGTTTTCAATTTGATTTTGCCTCGAGATTCATGCCGATCAAGATAATTTTTTGATGATATATCATAACTAAAATTTATATAGACAATTAATACACATTTTTAATCAAAATGAGTTATCAGGTCATATTTAGATCATATGAGATACTGGTGGTTGGATTTAGGCTCACTTTTATGATCAATTTATTAAACAAGTCGGATTTAGGTCCAAACCCAATACATTAACCAGCGTGAACACCCAATTTCTCTAATGAGTAGGAATTCAGTTTTGTGAAATTACGGAAAACCCAATTTATTAAAAATTCCAGAAACTTCGTCACAATCTCGTGATGCAAATCTCGACGAATTTGAATGCCGTTAATTTTATGTTGAATTTAATATACTTTTTAATTTATTATGTTATTAATTTTAGAATAAGTTTATTGATATTTAAGCTATTTTAGCAATAATTATTTTCATAATTTAAGAGAGGAAAACCGTGCGATAGCTTGTTGAGTGGTGAGAGAACCGCCAAGAAAAGAAAAAGCCTGTTCCGATACGAATTTTCATAAAAATTTGATTATTATGTCGAATAATAATAATTACAGCGCAAATGTTGATCAAATTTTCTTATATATTTATATTTACATAGTAAATTTTCTTCAGTACAATTAATTTCCAAAGGATTCGTTTGAGACGATTTTTTTACTATTTTTTAAAATATTTTTTTAGTATAAAATTTAAATTTATATAAGCTGAACTTAGGCTTCATTTGGGACAGCTTTTTTACTGCTTCTTAAAATAATTTTTTGTAAAAAAATTTAATTTTTTATTAATTTTTTTATTAAAAAACTACTTTAAGGAGTAAAAAAATCACCCCAAATGAAGCCTTAGCTCAATATGCTGCAATCTATTTGAGCTGAGTCCATCAGAGTGTTGATTGAATTTTGGTTAATTATATTAAAAATTTGAGTTTTATTTGAGCTTTTGTATATAATAATTATATTTTTGAGATATTTTTAATAATATTTGACTTATAATTTGACTTATCGACTAAATTAATCAAAGAAATTTAATAAATAAGTTTAAAAAATGAAAGAGAATTTGATTTCTTGTATTAATAAATAATTTTTAATAAATAATTTTTTTAAAAGTTTAAATAAACAAGTAATTAATTGAGTTTGAAATTAACTTTAAACTATTTGACATCAATTAAATATACACAAATTAAAAATGTGCTATAATAATCCCGGGCAATCATTTCTTCTTATCATACATCATAAATAAATATAAGTAAAGTTGTTCATTGAAATATAGAAATTAAAAGAAATTTGTATATTCTTACATGCTCATATAGATATTTCACACACACCTATTAGGTTCGAGCTAAAGAACCCAACTAGAGCAATGAGATCACCCATTATTGTCCGACCACCATTGTTGAACCAGTATTACTTTGTCATAACCATCGAGTATGTTAGATATTTGTTCCTAGATTTAGGTTTGCTTTTGTGTAAGTTATCTTGTTTTGGCATATGTAGCCATGTGTGGAGCTATTTGTATAGCTCTTAGGAGTCTTTAAATAAGGGTTTTTAGGCTTGTAATAGGCAGCCAAGAAAATAAGAATTTGCTGCATTTTGTTTCACGCCTCCCCTCTCCTCTCTCCCTCCTCCTCTCTCAAGATCCATGAGGAAGTGCTTCTTCCTCAAGTGAAGGATCTCACAGAGTAACTCTCATCTTATGCAAATTCTGCAATATTTTTTTATTAACAACTCACACTCTTGTAATATCACTTTCTTGAATATGAGGAACAAACAAATTTTGCAATCAACACTCAGTGAAATTATTTTAGCTAAATTAGGCCTCACGTTTCCCACTTACACATAAAAACTCTTATATCTCATGTGCCGTTTTCCCATTTATTTAGCTGTGTGGGAACTTCATATAAAATTAGAATGTAAATCTGTCTCATTCTATCACCGTGAGTTTTTTATCTTGCAATAAATATAGTGTTAATTTTAAGGAAGCGTATAGCTTAGTACACATTATTATGAAATTGAAGTAAGATAAACAAGAGTTAAAAAATTCAAACCCTAATTTGTCTCAAACTATTTTAGGTCTCTTGCCTTCTAGGGCCAAATATATGTTGAGAAGTAGGAATATATACTTAACATATAAATAAATATATAATATATTATTATTAAATAATGAATTAAATCTTTTTATTTAACTAAAATTTAATTAAATAATATAGTAGTTATCATAAAGATTAATATAAAGCCTTAAATAAATTACTTGTTAAATGACAAATAAGCAAGTTCTTGAATATAAATAAAAGAGTTGGACTCTATTCAAATTTGATTCATTTAGTCTTTAAGTTCCTTAAAAATGTTTAAATTTATTTAATTACTAACTTAAAATGAAGTTTAAGGAATATTAATTTTATAGGATGCTTTATTCAATCAATAATATCTTTTTTGTTGTGTACTTAGAACTGTGATGGCCTTCTGCTTCATCTTAGGCAACCGGAGCTTTTGCTTGTCGCTGGGGGAATTAAACTGATACTTTTGATGATTGGTTCTGGTCCTTTTAATTTACTGAGTCTTTTGATTGTAATGTCCCCTTAGCTGTAGCCTTCCTTTTGTTTCTGGCCATTTCTTCTTGTAGCTGTTTTTCTTTTTTCTTTCAGGTTACATGTATTTGTAATTGTATTGAATTTTCTTCTTAATACATGGGCTTAATTTTGCCCCGGGTTTACCCAAAAAAAAAAACAATTTTAGCAGGAACATGCAAATTTGATTTCTGAACACAAGTCTAATTTATTCAGAAGGGCATGGCCAGAAGCCTAAACAAGGACATGACTGCTTTTAAACAGTTGTGCGTTCCTCAAAAGCGTTTGGTTAAGCGTGAGGGAAACGCTTCCCAAGTCTGACACCGCCAGTGTAATTTTCTATTAGTATCACTGGAGAAATACAGCAGAACATGTTGCCACTTTGATGAGCTGGAAAATCGTGCATTTGTATGACTTTCTTATTCAGATTAATTATGACGATAAGAATATGGATTGTTTAGAGATCAATTAAAGTGCATCATATCATCCGTAACATTATCGAACACCAGCACCCAACAAATAGATGACGTGGTGCATTAGAGCATCTCCAACCGAATGTCAAATGAGCGAATGGCGTCATTCGATCGCTCCAGCCGAACGCCAAATCTTCCGCCATTTACTTGCGGGTGAACAATGGGACGTCAATATTGGCATCACACTGTTCACATACACTATTTTGCTCTCTCAACTGAAAAACGCGCGAAAGGGAGAAGGATCATTACCTTCGCAGACGCACAAAAAATGTTGTTCGATTGGAGCAGCACCACGACATTTTGGAGTTCTGCTGTATTTTGTCGTGAAAAATAAAATTCTGTGTTAGAGATGCCCTTATGATCGATTGACCTCCAAAAGGAGTACAAAATCCACACAAAATAATTTTTTTTTATTCAAGCAAGAGAGAACACTGAGTTTAATTGTAAAATATATTAAAGATAATTTAAAAATAAAGATAAGGATCAAAATTATCCTCTGACTCTTTAAAAGAATTAAAATAAAATTTTGATTCTTATTTTGGATGATTAATTAACTTATTAAATAGAAATTTAAATAATCTCATAGAAAATTTAATTTAATATTTTAATCGACCACACTTAACAGGATAAAGACTTGATGTTGTTATTATATTTAAAAAGTTAATAAATCAAATTAGTATTTTTATATAGTTAGAAATTATTTTGATTATTTATTTAAAAATTAGGAATAAATCAAGTCCATTTCTAATTAAAAATATATTGACACTTAAGTATAAATTAATTACTTCTCACTAGTAATTTTTATTGGGTGAAAATATATTTCATTAATTTATAATAATATTTATTTGACTAATAAGCAGCTTATGCTAAGACCCACTCTGATATCTATTAGTTCTAACTTTTCACATCAGCAAGAAAGACAGGATGACCCAAAGGCCAAAAGCTGAATAGTTGCCGATTTGTAGGGTTACCAGAGGAATAAAAAAAAAAAAACAAGGCTTTGTTTGGGACGACAAGCAGTAAGAAAGTCGTCCCAAACGAAGTCTTAGGCCTACTTTTTTACAGCATCTTAAAGCGGCTTTCTAGTATAAAAAATTTAATTTTTTAACTAGAAATCCGCTTTAAGAAGCAATGAAAAGCCGTCCCAAATGAAGCCTAAATAAAGAGGATAGCACACGGCTCATCTTGATCAGTTATTTGAGTATTGCGTATATGATGTGTGCGTAAATTTATCTTAATAGACTTAAATGCCCCAAAATCATGCGCATTGCATCAATTAATCAATACATGGCACTTACTCTTGCGAAGTAGATCATCAATTTTTTTTTTTTGCAAATTTGTACAAGAAATTTCAGAGTATGTTGTTTAGGGTTTAGTATTAAAGGTATAAGATTTAGGGTTTAGGATCGGATATTATGCAATAGTTTTTTTCACACTTTAATTTAATTTTAGGAGTAGACCTAAAAAGAATTGGTTAGAAAATATTAGAAATGACATATTTTATTCGATTTAAATGAGAATGTGAGTTTTAACATATGACATAGTGGAGAAAAACTATTCATGTAGCCAATCCTATGTAGCAGGATAAAGACTTGATGTTGTTATTATATTTAAAAAGTTAATAAATCAAATTAGTATTTTTATATAGTTAGAAATTATTTTGATTATTTATTTAAAAATTAGAAATAAATCAAGTCCATTTCTAATTAAAAATATATTGACACTTAAGTATAAATTAATTACTTCTCACTAGTAATTTTTATTGGGTGAAAATATATTTCATTAATTTATAATAATATTTATTTGACTAATAAGCAGCTTATGCTAAGACCCACTCTGATATCTATTAGTTCTAACTTTTCACATCAGCAAGAAAGACAGGATGACCCAAAGGCCAAAAGCTGAATAGTTGCCGATTTGTAGGGTTACCAGAGGAATAAAAAAAAAAAACAAGGCTTTGTTTGGGACGACAAGCAGTAAGAAAGTCGTCCCAAACGAAGTCTTAGGCCTACTTTTTTACAGCATCTTAAAGCGGCTTTCTAGTATAAAAAATTTAATTTTTTAACTAGAAATCCGCTTTAAGAAGCAATGAAAAGCCGTCCCAAATGAAGCCTAAATAAAGAGGATGGCACACGGTTCATCCTGATCAGTTATTTGAGTATTGCGTATATGATGTGTGCGTAAATTTATCTTAATAGACTTAAATGCCCCCCCCAAAAAAAAAGAGTATAATGAATATAATCAAAAGAAAATAAAGAAAAATCTCAGTATTCTCATTAATACTGTAAGATAAATTAGGTACTTACAGAAGCAGATGACTGCAAAGAAGACAAATCACAGATGTTCTAATTTATTTTTACAAGCCATAATTACAATGCCTCCAAAGAGGATAAGCCATTAGAACTCATACCTTAGTTCGAACCAATTTTCTTGTCCGGTAATAGATTAGTAATTAAGAACCTCAGCCAATGCTGTACGAAGGGGAAGGCAGGTTGATAACGGTACTCTTGATCTTGGTCATCATGTTAATACTGTTTGTGATCCCCTGAGATCCAATTCCACTGTCCTTCAAACCCTGAAACAAAACAAGAACAATAAATTTAAAGCAATTTTCCACATGTTATAAGGAAAGGCAAAGGAGGAGAACCTGGAAGGGGAAATGGTCAGGTCCTCGAGCTGGTGCAGAGTTGATCTGAACTGTGCCAGTTTCCATGGCGTCACTGATCATAATGGCTTTGTTGATGTCCCTTGTGAAGACACAACCCTGTTGAATTTCTCATTTTAGTAGTGAAAATAACAAAATGAACTTTAGATTCCAAGCACAATGAAGTCAGATTGTCATGGATGCACAGAGATGAGCTTACACAGATTTTTTATCTTTACAGTTTCAAACATTGAAATAATTGAGTATGCGTCAGTGATCTAATGAAGGTTATAATTAATTTATCAGTTTGTTGTGGGAATAAATCATCTACTTGGCTTGATGGTTGGAAAAAGAAAGCTCTCTCATTTGTTGGGAGATTGCAGTTCATCAAAGCCAATATTTGGAACTATTTGATCTATTGGTTTAGATCAATGATCATTCCAAAAGGCTTAAAAAGATTTCCTCTCTTATCTTGAAATTCTTTTATGATAATAGACGAAAATAAGATGCACACTATGTCCTAGTTCAAAACTACTCTCTCAAAATAAAAGATTGGATTGGCGCTATACTCTCTTGATACCATAAACTTTATTTGTAAAGCGAAAATGATCGGTAGATTAAGATTTTCATCTCATTTATGCTAATTGGTTTTATAGCTCTTATGACTAGATTGTACTTGACTTGATTCTCAGATATTATGTTGATCTACCCTTTTGGAACTATGATGCAACTAATGACTGCTTTATCTTAGACTTCTACTCCGAGCCCCTCTTTTATTTCTTAATTGCGGCCTGGCAGGTTTATTTTGTTGAAGGGCCTTTTGCTTTAACATAATATTTTTATTTTTGGTGAAGGATTTTGTCTTCTTTTTTATAGGTTTTTTTTAGCATTATTGATCTATAAATGTGTAACTATTTTCTCCTTCTTATCAATGAAATTTAGCTGAGGCTCTTAACTTCCCCCACTCTCTCCTCCAAAAAAAAAGAAGATGGAAGAATACAAGGAGGTGGACAGGCAGGACAGCTATCAAGAAGGGATTAAAGCAGCTGTTTTAATCAGGAGTTCAATTATCGCATATAACAGCAGCTTTGTCCCGGCTAAAATCTGGGAGAATCTGGACACTGGACAGCTTCCCTCTTTGTCCAATAGTCCAAGCCGGAAAATAGAACCCGGTTCATGCTTGCAAAGAAGGTCATCACATGTAAATTCCGCAATTACTTATTTCCTTGTGTAGAAGAATAATATTCGGCAGTTATTTCCCATGAATATTAATATTAGCTTCTGTCCACTAATTGGGCATTGTATACGTAATAATCCAAAATGTTCTAAAATGAATTTATTTGAAAAAATGATAATCTGGGTTGCAACAATGCGGTGCTAAGATTGAGAGCGCATCGGCACCATGCTCTCTATTCTATAATAACTCTGGATTCAACATGCAGTGCAACAATGTTATAGTTTGTGGCGCCCTGGCGCCAGCTCAAAAAAGTATTTTTATATTTATCTTTAATATAAATATCCTTCACCAACTGAGCCGCTCCCTCGTTTCATTTCCTTGCTAGGGAAGAAAGGAGAGAAAGTGGGAAAAGGGATAGAGGAGAGGAAAGAGAAGATCTTCTGGGATAAATACTCACCCCATGTCTATAATATATACCCTTAGGCGACGCAACCCTCAACTGCCGACAAGGATCTTTCTGTCAGGTTGGGTCGACTACCTCCTCTGACTAAGTAGACTAGGGATCACGATGGTCCGGGACGATGGAACCATGGGATCTTGATCGGATCCATCATTCATTCCCCTACCATCTGCTTTAAGTGCAAGGTAGTAAATTTTCAATTTTAAATATCAAATCTTCAAACACCTAAACCCATGTTGCTACTATATGCTAGATACACGTATATCTATGTATCTGATTGATGACTAACCTTAATCAAAAGTTCTCTCTCATTATCGGAAGAGGTAATTAAGTATAGGGGCTTGCGCCTATAGGAAACAAGAACTCAGATTATAAAGGCCTCGTAAAATGAGGGCGAGATCTCTGGGCAGTGTCTTATCTAAAACTCAATCTGTCTTCTGAAAATTTAACAAGAACTTAAGCTTGCTAAAACTTTCCACCATCACATTAAGAAAAGAGAACGGTGCAGAGATGCTGGGGGGCGTAGAATTTTTGAAGCCCACAAAGAGTAAAGCCAATCATCCACCTGAGCATCCTTATCTCTGCAATACTTAACTTAATATTATGCTTCTCTTTTAATAGCCAACATTTTGCACCATAAAGCATTGCAGGTCTCACCATCGTCTTATAGAATTTTCCCTTATGTTTGAGGACTTTTCTATCACACAACAAGCCCATTGCATTCCTCCACTTCAACCATCCAACTTGAATTCTACTAATAACATCCTCACTATTTCACCATCACTCTGATCAATAGACCTAAGATAACTAAAACATGTACTCTTATTAACGATTTGATAGCCCAAAGTCACAATCCACCCACTTGATCAATTACTACTAAAATTATACTCTATATATTTGGTTTTAGATCTACTCATACAAAAACCTTTAGACTTTAAGGTTGACCATCATAATTCAAGTTTACCTTCAACTCCCTCTCTAGTTTTATCAACAAGAAAACTATCATCAACAAAAAGCATACGACAGAGCACAACCTCTTGCAAATGTCTAGTGAGAACATCCATGACTAAAAGCAAAAATATATGGGCTGAAGGCTGATCCATGATGCAATCCAATAGAACTAGAAAATATTTGGTCAAACCATCTTGTGTTTGAACACAAGTAACATCTCCTACATACATAATCTTAATGACTTGAACATATGCCTTATTAACCCCTTCTTTTCTACAACTCTTCATAGCACTTTTCTTGAAAATTTATCATATGATTTCTCTAAATCAATAAATATCATAAGTAAATAACCCAATAGATCATAAAAAAATTGGGGCAAAGAATGATTATCTATGGACAAAAAAAGCTACCAGCAGCTGATTAGAAAACTTAACTTCCCATACTAGACCTGACATTTTCTTTCCATTAGATTACTTAATCGGTATATGAATAATCCCATGGAGGAACATCTTTATGATGTTTATAGGATGCTACGGTATCTTGAATGATCACCTAAAAAAAGACCGACTCTTCAGGAAGGGAACAAATATAAGCATTGAAATATTTACTGATAATGACTGGGCAAGATCTATAACTAGTCATAAAACCATTTTTTGGCTCCTGCTCTTTTGTATGGAAAAGCTAAATCACTTTGAGAAATAAGAAACATACGGTTGTTGGTATAAGTAGATTTCAAGATAAATTCAGGGCTATTGTTCACAAAGTTTGCAAAGGAATTAAAAGGTTCTTGAAGACCACAAGATCTATACAAAAGAACAGATAATGATGATGTGTGACAACCAAGCTATAATCAATATAGCTAAATCTTCTCCAACATGATTGGACTAAATATATTGAGATTGATCGACATTTCATAAAAGATAAATTGAATATGAAATTATCAAAATGATCTACACTCCTACAAAATCTCAAATTGTTAATATCCTTACTAAAACACTTAATCGAATACAATTTGACAAATCCAATTCTAAGCTAGAAATGATCAATATATATTCCTAGCTTAAGGAGAAGTGGTACTTTTGCGCTCAATCAATGTGGAGGACTACAACCTTGCTCAGATTTGAAAGGAATTATGGTTACTTAATACCGAGAACGAAAGATAGGATAGTGCAGGATGGTAGATAACCAACAAGGAGGAATTAAAGCAGCTATTTCAACAAAGAAATTAATTATGGAATAGGACAACTTCTTTGCCTTTTTGGTCCCAGTAGGTATGGACACGACACACCCAACTAGTTGTTCTAACTGAAATCTTGGAGAATCTGGGAAGCCATCTTCTTTGTCCAAGCAGGAAAACAAAGACAACAGACTGCCCAGTCCATGCTTGGAAAGAAGGGTATCACATGCAAATTCCCTAGTTACTTATTTCCTTATCTGAAAAAAATAATATTATGTAGGTACCATCCATATTATTTATTGTTTTTCTTCTTCAATCCATTAATTGTGCCTTATATCCTCTATATAAACAGTAGTTTGCAATCCTCATTGGGATAAGAAAACTAATTGAGCCATTCTCATCCATAATGTTCTACTTGTCTTTCTTCTCTTTGGCTTTTTAATAGAGATCATTACATAGCCATGGTAGCTAAAGCTAATGTTCTCAAATTTGAGAGAAAAGGAAAGTAAAATTTATATCAAATAAATAATCCATGAAAACAAATTCCTGTTCATCATAATAATTATTAATTAGCCTCATCCCAACAACATTGATCCTCTTTAATGAATCCTTATATTCCCGGTTATTCTTATTGAGCACTATGCAAGATATCAACTCTATTTTGCATAAATTTGTGTGAAGGAAATAATATTAAAGGAATTTGGCAGCTTGCTTTGATAGTTGGCAACATTTTTGACATATAAATTATTCTCTAGACATATTACCAAGTGTTTCGCATGAGAAAATTATGCCTAAAGTATGTATAAAATAAGAGAGACTTCAACTATAGAGATATGCAACATCATTTTTTTTTTCACTTCAATCTAGCCAATTCAGATATCAACTGTTCTCTCCAACCAAAATAAACTCAATGGAAAAAATTAATGGCAAAATGATAGGAAACACTCGGATTTCCAAGTGTTTCACACCAAGAACCAAGTAGATCTAGGATGAAATCTGCTGTCCACACAAGAAAACAGCCAAAAACAGTGGATTCGGAGAGAAAACGAAGGAGAAAACGTAAGAGAAACAAAGCAAACACTTTTATTTAACGAGAAATGAAAAGCACTTGCAAGATACAACTTTCCTTCAATTCGAGAGGAAGGAAAAACTCTCCAAATCTCTAGCCGTAGCCTAGAGCCCAAGAACACAAACCCTAGATCTCAAAAATGATTCAAACTCAAGATAACCCTCTCTTCCCCCTATTCCTCCTAATTAAACATGAAAGGAGGATTACAATTTACCTAATTACCCTTCTCATTCAAAAATTCCCTCCCAAAACTCAAAATACAACAAGTGGGCCCCCCTAGGGGTTTCCGCCCAGCTCCTGGCTGGGTTTCTTCCGCCGGGAGTAAGCCC